ATTGTCCTATATAAAGTTAACTATGATAAGCTAACTATGGTAACTATGATGGCTTATGGGAGCTGCGGTTATGCGCAGTTTGATTTCGCACATATTTAGCATTAAACCTAAGATAAATATCCAGTAAATATATGTATAAGGCAAACTTAAATACTTATTAATATGAACGACTGTGTGCTCACCACGCATTGTGTAGCCTAATTATTTAACTGTAGAGACAACAACTGTGCAGCTATAAGTGGATTTTTGTGTATCGATTAGGCGTATAAGTAAATAACGGTCTTTAATGAGAATGCAAATTTATTTGGTTGCATGTGTGTGTGTTCTCCTATTTATTTAATGCCATGACATATTCAATCGAGCCAATTAATGTCGCACCTAAACCAGTCAAGCGCATATGCATACACCTACACACATGCCCTCATAGTCCACATATAAGCACATATAAAATAGTTAATTTCGAGGAGGGCGTTCATTGAAATCTACTCTTGGTGGCTGTTTGCGTGGTGTTCGATTATGTTTGTTTGGTTTCCCTGTGTGTGTGTAAAGGTGAACTGAAAGCACAAGTGTTAGTCTATTATTAATATTATAAGCCCGAAAGCAATTTATCTTGCGTGTGTACACAGATGCACCGACACATGCACGCCCTTAACTGCAATACTATTATAAGCTTGAACGCATGTCTACTTGACTGCTTGAATGGCTGAGCGGCTGAGTGGTTGAGTGGCCTGGCCGGATGCATAATTGCATCGGCTCGGTTTATTATCGCACAGGATGTGCGTTGCATTCGCAAATATTAACTGAAACACACATATACATTCACGCATGCACACACTATTAAAGCTTGTCGGCGTGGCACTTAATTATATTGAACAGCATATTAGAGCCAAAACTGCTGCCAACAATTACAACTATGCTCCTAGCTTATGCGGGGCGGAATTCTCAATAAATATGTGTGTTGCAAGTATTACGAGTATATGTTGCACGTACATTTGCACAGAGGTAAGTAAGTATGTCTGCTATAAGCTGAGATATTGCTTCGTATTTTATAACAACACCAAACGTGTGTGTGTTGTTACAGCAATAACAATTTAATTACATCAACAAAGCTTATTTAGAGATTTTGAGTTTGTTTGCGGCATACAAACGCTTGCGGTGAACTCTGCTCCTCGGCGCTGCTCAGAGCTCTGAGCTGCTGATTTTCCTTGTCTACTTAAGTGATGCCTAAATGCATAATGTTTAGGGGAAGTTCTATGAGGCCATTCTGCAAGACACCCGATGTGCATGTGTGTGTGTGTATAGTCATTGGAAATTTGCTTTGTTTAATTAGTTAAATGTGTGCAAAAAGTTTCGGTTACGAAACCCATAGCATGTGCGTAAAATGTACAACAACAACGACAATTAATTCAGTGTGACTACCAAGTTAAACAACGCAATCAATTACACGCACACACAAACACACATATAAAGATACTTGATATAAAAAGGTATATCCTGTTGCTGGGCGTGGCGATTGTGTATCTGCTTTTGCAAATTGTAGCTTGTAATTATAATTATTAGCTTGTGATTTCTTATGGCAATGAGTGCTTGAGTGAATTTGGTGAACTACGAGTTCTTATTCCATATCTTTTGTTCGGAAAGTTTAAGGGTTGTTCAAATAACTTTCGCCCTTATTTATGTGAGTATAAATATAAGGTATAGGTTTTAAAAATGATTGCGCTCAAGTGACCATCGGGTCGATTAAATTCAAGCCGAGAAACTCAATTTTCGACCAATTTTTCGGTAATTGGTTCGGTAAGTCAATCGTCCCGGGCTGGGTTTGGGTTGACAAGCGACTTCACATAACTCCCCAAAAAATCGCACGATCTTGGAGGCCACGCCACAAGCCCATGACGCGAGATAACACGCTCATCAAAAGTTTTCTTCAAATCAATGTTTGTTTCGTTGGCTGTATGGCACATAGCTCCGTCTTGCTAGACCCAAAGGCTTGTGGACTACTATCATACGTAAGATGAAATACCTCGAGGACAATATTTGTGCAAAGTTTTATTCTGTTAACTTTATTGATGTTTAATGTGTATAGTGTAGAGTGAAAGCATCAGACGGAATTTAAAAGTTTGTTATATGGGAACCACGCCTAAGGTTGTCATCCAATTTGGCCTATTTTTCCAGTGTCATAGGAATGTTTGGGTAACATCACACACCAAATTCGGTCGCTTTTTCCATGAGTTATATTTCTTCTAGTACGTTTCAACATAACCGTTCTATGGGGAGTGGGCGTGGTTATTATCCGATTTTACTCATTTTCAAAGAGTTTAAAGAGGTGATAAAATCACTTCGTCTCAGCAAGTTAGGTTGATATATCATATAATTTTTTAATTCACTGTTGTCTCTGTCTACTGGGATCTCCTGTACCAAATTACAGTTTTACATCTTAATTTGCGGATTAGTTATGGCACTTTAAAAGTTTCCGTTTAATGGCGTTCTATTGGCGTGGCAATGGTCCGAATCCGCATTTGCAATACCAACCTCTCTTGGGTGCTAAGGAAGATGTGTACCAAGTTTCACCAAGATATCTCAATGTTTACTCAAGTTAAAGTACAGTCACCAGGATTTCAACTCCTTTCGTCATCCTGATCATTTATATCATAAATATCATTTCAACCTTATATCTATCTCGATTAGTTTTAGGTTATACAAACAACCGTTAGGTGAACAAAACTATTATATCTATGTTGCGAGAATATAAAAAAGTATGTTCAGGTACAGGTCCTTTAAGAAAATTTGGAATTAAACTTGGTAAAACAACTTTAATCTAAAAATGGTCGAAATTGAACTATGCCTATTCCATCTCCCAGGTACCGTCCGTGAAATTTTCATCTCTATATTCAAGAGCTTTTGTGCTTCGATGTATAATATTGCCGCCGCAATTACCTATAGAGCAAGTTTTATGAAATTGATGACGAAGATTCAATGCGAAATTCTAACAATCATTCATATTTTAATCTTTCACCTAATCAATTCAAGTTACTGATAACAAGTCCATACTTTTTAATCGAAAGTAAAAAAGAGCTATGCTCGGGCGTAACCGAATATTTTATCTAATCTCCCGATTTTCAAAGATCAAAGTCGGATCGCATATTTTTAGGTATTGGTAAAATTTTAAAATTTGTTGCCGTTGCCAAAAAACTCAATACTCGCTATTCTACGAAATTATGAATGGATTATAATCATATTTCGTATCTGATTAACATTTATTATATTATAGCTCATAAACTCACTTAATTTCATTAGCTTTTGTTTAAGGTCAGAGCTATTTATATCAAAATCCATCCATTTAACTCAATTGAGATATATAAACATATGTGTATATATACCTATGACATAAGCTCAACTAAAGTGGTTCGATTTATATACTGGATATGGGAGGAAAAAGTCAACCAGAGAAACAGAAAACATTATATTAGGGATAATAGGCTTAGACCGTGGTAATTCTATTCATGTTCAGCGCTAAACCATATTCTGTTTAAGAATAAGTGGACACGTTTTCTTTAAAATAGCACACATAGAATGATGAATAAAACTTTCATATTATTTTACTGTTGTATATCCTAGTATTTGCATACAACACTCGCTCTCTCTTATATACCTTACTTATGTGCTCATATTTGTGTAAACTATACACATGTATGTGAGTACTTGTATACGTAAACACTTTCAATGTTTTAAGCTTCTGTTTGATTATGCGAATTCCTAATTAGGAGTCAATTAATGTGTTTGCTCAGGAAGGTTTGCACAGTAATAAAAGTTTCAAATTATTAGTCACACTTGTATATACATAAGTCTGCAAATATTACGAGTTATCGCACAATCAAGATTTATTAAAGATAATTAGGGTTTTCTGTGCTTGATTCATTGTTTTCCGATATTTTCGAGAGAAAATACTTTTTGTATGAATTGTCATCTCACTCTCAATCAATGAATTGTGTCTGAAAAACTTTTGGAAGAACCGAAGAAAATGTAAAGACTATTTTATTTGATAATTGTTCAGCCATGGGTAGATTATTGGATCCAAATAGTAAAAACCTTTATTTCTATTTCCTATTCAGATATGCGTGCTACTATATGAAGAAGTCTTTGTGTTGTTTTCTTTCTAGCAATGTATAAAAATTGCTTACATTTTAAATCGCCATTTCGGGTGTGTGTTTTCTCTACAGGGAGTACCAGGGTGGAAGCACTGAAATTTGGGTTGTGTGTGCTGTAAGTAAAACATTACTATGCTGGAAAGTGTCATTCATTTTATTTGACCATAGCAAAGAGAGTTGTTACTTTTCAATCCGTGTTCTCGGACGGTACAAAATATTGGTCAAATGTTCGACTATTATGGAAATAATTGGAAACTTTTAAATTTGAAGCCAAGATATTTTTTAACCTATATTATAATTTGAATACTTAATTTTTTAAAGTGACTATTTGGCACGATAGATAATATTTATGAGACTATTAAACTAGAAATAAGTTATAGTAGTAATTCTTTATTTACTCACCTGCGTTTCTGTCACATTTAGCAATTTAGCCATTTCCGTGCGTTCACTTGAACTGAGATATTTCTTTATCTCGAACTGTTTCTCCAATTCGAATATCTGGCGACCTGTGAATGTGGTGCGCGCCTTCTTCTTGCGTCGCGCATCTGTTGAACCCGAATCTGAGTCGTCCTCCGTGGTCTCCACAGTAGGCACGGAAGAGGAGGCAGGCGGTGTGCTAACGGTCGGGAATTGCTTATCGCGCATCAGGCTGTCACTGCTGCCAGTAGGACTCACATCCGGCACAGGCATTGACGAGGAAGACGTCGGAGGCGTAACTGTCGACGACGCTGACCCCAACAACGCTGCACTCGTGGCGGAAACACCAGCGGCGGATGCATTCGCAAGTTTTTTCTTCTTAACACTCGATTTGACTGTGTGATTGGCATCTGAAATGAAGGCACAATAAAAAGTCGAAACGTTTAGACAAAGAATGTGACTTTGCTTTGTGGGGAAAGAAAATGCGGTTTTTTGAATAAAAACATAACCGAACAATTATAATATTGCATTATCAAGTGTCTATCGGTGTATTTGCGAAAAAATATGTTGTCGGTAATGGAGAATGTTAATGCAAATCATACTGGTTGCTAATAGCGAGTATTTAAGTGTCTGTCTGCTTGGTTGGCACGCGGCAATGCAACAATGCTGTCTGTCAAGCGATGCTGTCAATCACTTTGTAACCTCATTTGCTTGCGGTGTTGCCCGTTAAAGTCTTATCGATGTTGTTTTCTGCATGCATGGCATATTCGTAGGTGTCGGGGATACATTCCATTGGTGGCGGTCCGTTTTTATTGTCACTTCATGTTTTTGCTATTAGTTCGTTGCTATATGCTTGTTGCACACACCTTCAAGTGCTTAAGTGCATTTATTGCTAATTTCACGCACTTAAACGGCGTTCATTCAATTGAGACAACAACACCAAAAGCGAAAAATATTATATGCAAATACAACTATCAGCCTTCCTGTCTAATTGCGTTGCGGCTTGTCATTTGATATGCAGCTGCGGTTTTCTCAATAACTATTGTTGTTGCACATAAATATGCTTGTTACTGTAGCACTTGCTAAATTTCAATTTGTACTCTGAGATTGGCATTGTATTGTCGCTAATTTGACTTTACTTAGATTTCAATTGATTTCACTCAAATTGCTTGTGCATATTTTTTAATTATTCACTGTGTCTTTTACAGCTGCATTTAAGCGTTTGTTAGCTGATAGACACTGTGCGAAAAATACTTAACTTTTAGGCAGTAACGAACATAGTATTTATTTATAGTATAGTATATAGTATTTAAAATAAATAAAAATTCACACAAGGATCGATCAGTTGCACGGCAACTATATCCTATAGTGTTCCAATATAGGCACTTCGGACAAATGAGCAGCTTCTTTGTGAGAAATTTCAGGTCCATACCTCAAAAACTGAGGAACTAGCTCGCGTATTCAGCCGGATATAGCTAAATCGACTCGGCTTCTCATGTTGATCTGTTATATAAACACTTTATATAGTCTCCCACGTTTCTTTCTGGTTGTTACAAACTTCGTGACAAACTAAATATAACCTGTCCAGGGTAAAAAAGTCTTCCAATGCTACAGTGAATGCGAATTTTCACTATGTTCGCCCCTGTTCAATAAAAACCGTTTATGTTTTGCTTTATATTTTGAGTAAAATGAATTAAGTATTATTTAGACTGTAACTGTAAACTGCCATTTATTTAGCATTATTCAAGAATAGAAATGCGTTGACGGTGAGGTTAGAGAACATCTGTGGGTACAAATGAATCAGTAGACACAACAACAATAAGCAGTAATAGAAAAATCATTTGCAGAGACTTTGCAAGTTCAGGATTTTTTGGTAAGAACAGAGATTTTTATAAGAAACAAGCCCAGTGAAATAGCAAGCTAAATTACCAGTCGAGTATGAAGGAGAATGCAAAGGTCCTGAATGTAAAAATTGAAAACAACAACAGACCACATTTGCATGAGTTCATATATCGGGTGTTTCAATAGGGATGATATGATTTCTAAGTGTCGTTTCGGCCATTTTTAAAATGTCATGATATGGAATTTTTTTGCATTGTATTCAGTACTGCTTACAATTTCATCAAGGAAAGATATTAAAAGAACAATGTTTACAAATTATTCAATTTATTATCAAAATAATCGTTCTCCAATTGTAAGTATAATTTTGTAAGAAAATCATCTTCTCCGATGAGGCTCACTTTCATCTGAGTGGTGCGGTAAATAAACAAAACTGCCGATTCTGGTGCGAAGAAAAGCCACAAGTTATTCATGAACAGCCTTTGCATTCACAGTTGACAGTTTGGTGTAGTTTTTGGTGTCTTGTGTCGTGACCGCGTTACTGTCAATGGAAAGTGGTATACGAGTAGATCGATGATAGCCGACTTTTTATGGCTGCAATTGGAAGAAGTTGATCATGACAACATCTGGTTCCAACAAGACGGGGCTATGTGCCACACAGCACGTGCAATATCCGAATTATTGCGAGAAAATTTTGGAGAATCGGTAACTTCAAGATATTGTGAGATTGAATGACCTCCAAGAAGTTGTGATTTAACACCATTATATTACTTCGTGTGGGGTTATTTGAACCCATTGGTATTAAGCGATAAATCAGCTCTCTTCTAGCTTTAGTAGTCAATTTTGAACGCGCAATTCATGATATCCGACTTAATTTAATAGAAAAAGTACTCGAAAATTGGGTTCATCGAATTCGTTAATGAAAAAGAAGTCGTGGAGACTATTTGAATGATGTTATATTCAGAACTTATATGTATCGATGAAAAACATTTGAATTCTCTTAACAATTGTGTTTTTTTTAAATCATATCCCACTCATTGGAAAACCCTGTACTTACATAACAGCGAACGTCGAACGAACCGAACGGGAGGAATTACGGCTTTCTGTGGCGATTAAAAACTAATAATAACTACAATTGCACTTAACGGAACACAAACGTGCATACACAAATGTATTAATATATGGACAGAAATGTATGGTGACATGCAAATAAAGGCGATTGTGTTCACGAGAATTGTTAATAACAATTAATAAAGCGACATTTAGCAATAATTGAACAACAATAACAAAAGAATAAAGCATGTTGGTTTTCCTATACATATGTACTCGTACATGGCGAATGCAGTTGTTATTGCCCTTCTCTCTCGCGTATTTCAGCATTTGCATTCGCGGCACGTTGTGGGATGTCTGTGTTGGCGTCTGGGTCTGTAACTGTGCTTGTGGTCGCCCGGTCATAGCTGCGCTCAGTGCTGACGCAGGCAACAACTTGTGGCAGGTTTGTGTCTGTGCAACACAGTTTTCTATTAATTTGTTGTAATTTGCATTGCTGCTTCTTGCTGAAATTTTACTCGTTTGCAAATATATTTATTGCTTGTTCGTATATTTATAAGAATCTATAGGAGTAGAAGAACATATGTCTTCACATCCTCATAAATTACTATTCGCGTTTTATTTCCTCGAAGTAAATTACATTAAACTCTGTGAAAACGATTGACATGCAAGTAAATAAGCTTTTTATGACAGGAAGCTCGCCAATTTCTGTTTCATCTATTGTTTCCTTCACATAATAATCACTGAACAAATATTCCTGTGTTTTGAAACTCAGAAAGGTGTTCCTAAAGAAACAACAGTTGTAGAAAAGTAAAATGTGATCTCCAATTTCCTGTTTCAGAGTCCGGATATTTTTATATGGAATGAGGAATGTGTGCGACAGAGGTGTGCTAAACGAATATCTCTGACTGGAAATTGGTTTGAATGTGTTTTCAGCAACATGACATGCGACACTTTCGGTAATTCTGTTAACGGCCATTTGGACGATGTAAACTTATAATTTTTGGAACTGCAAGGCAAAATTTATGTTCAAAATGCTAATAACCAACTTAGTTTATGATAATACCTATATGTCCGTGAATCCAGTAGATTAAGTGTTGCGATTTTTAATTTGTTTTGATGTTTCAGTACTTATTCCCTAAGAACTACCATTCCTTTTTGTTTTTTTAAGTTATTAAAACATCATTATTAATTATAAGTCCAATCTCAAAAATAAAAAATTGTACAAATTTAATATCATTGCGCATGTAACATACTACAGCCCTCGTCAATAGGTTAACCGCACTCGTACTTGCGTTAGTGCTCACTTAATCACTTTTATTTTGCAATTAGTAAAACAAAAGTTGATTTGCAAAACCTTAGTTATTCAATGATGATACGAGATTATTATTCAAAAAAAAATTATGTTTTCCAACGTTTTCTTAGAACAACGTAAACCTAATTTTAATTTAATTTTGTTGGTCATTAAATTAGAGACAGTTAAAGTAAGTTGAAGGAATGTAAATATTAGACTTATAAGGATAAAATAATACATGACTTCATACATATATATTGTACGGTAGTTTGGCAAAATATTGCTCTAGGTACGCTTTCCTCATTTATAAACTTTTAACGTTTTGACTCGAAGTAAATTACTTAACTACTCGAGCGTTATGAATCGGATCATTATTATCTTGTAAAAAATCCATGGGATAGCTCCAAAGAGAGCAACTAATAATAAAAAAACTGACTCCAATATTGTTTTAAAGCGCTCACCGTTTATATTCTGATCAGTAAATATTAAATAAATTGTTCTATAAAGCGTGAAGGTAACCCACACCATAGCCTCAACTTCTCGGCTGTGATGGCGGCTGAAACACAGCTCTTCTTTGCGTAAATCATGAAAATAGTATTGTAAACCATCGGGTCCATCAAAATTACAGCGTTTTTCAATAACTGAACTCTCATGACTGAGTTGAGTGTAAGATTTCACACTCCGAATCATTAATTCGTTTGATAATGGAAGCCGCTTTTATTTGCGTATGACATCCAGAGGTAGTTTCTCCTCAATTTATAGACGCTTAAGATATTTGGCATTTCTGATTCCATGTTGAAGAGTTGAAAAGCTTGCATTTACTCCATTTAATTCCCTAATCTTAGCTGCCAGTCCAGCAGAATTGGAAGCAATTCTAATTATTTTACGTTCCGGTCGGGAAGTTAAAGCTTTTTACGTCCTTTAACATTTTTTTCCATATGTTTCTGGATATTTTAAATATCTATCAACAACTATGGGATTGTGCTTCATTTATTTGGCAATATTTCGATTCGATAGTCCTTACGAGTAAAATAATCTTGTTTTTTTGATTTTACAATAAGCTGAAAACAATAGCTTTTCCGATTTTTACTTCAAATCTTGCTTAAAGACAACTAATTCCTTAATTTTTAGTTTTTGTTAATCAAATTAATTGCCATTTTTTACACAAGACGAAAAAACACGAGGTGCCACTAATTCAATGACCAAACGAAACTCTACGCGATTACA